AATTTATAAAGGCAGTCAAAATCAATGACAAAAAAGCATACTACTTAAGTAGTAACTTTTTATGATACATATTTTTAAAAAGCGGTCAGAACGAAGCTCATTAAAAAGCCGGCATCCTGACGTGACCTAAATATAATGAGATGCGGCTGTATAATCGTCATTTTTAAAACCATACTCAACCAATATGTTTGAATCGAAAACGCATTTCAGAATTCTGGGTGACATCTCATGAGATATGGAATCTACTGTACGTTTGTATGTGTCGCAGATGGTCCCGTCTGTGGACTAATGTGCCAGGTTCCGTCAGTGGACCATCTGCGCCGTGTGTGAGCGTATGTTTGTGTTTCCGATCACATATGCCGGTCAGGGTTAGGCTTGACTGTATGCAGGCACAATCATTTTGAAGAAATTCTCTATTAGTAGATCTACATTCTGTCATCTTCTGCTCTGATCACCTCCACTGGACCGACCCGCACGTTACGGCCGAATATCACAAAAGCGGTGGACACAGTCCGGACGACCTAACACAGAAGCGCAATTCAGGCTTTATTCGAAAGTCTAGTCATGATACTCAGTTGCGTCTCACCGTAGAGTGTGATTACTTCACGTTAACGTATAGCTGGACCATTCATGTCAAGGCGGTGGGTGCAGACAAAAAACGAGGCCGGTGCTGGCGGAAAAATGTCAGCAGCATAAATCTGAGCATTCTACTTTTCCCTGCAGACAATGCGCAAGCCCCCACGTGAAGTAGACGCATGTGATCTGTATGTTATAAAAAGTCAGTGCCTGGCACGAATAGATTCGTCCCGCTGGTACGCGCATGCATCTGCTTCTGCAGGATGCTTCCAAACAATTTATTAAAATTATTCGGACCCATAGTGCCACACTTTACCGTGAAGTGGAATTTCTAGACACAGTGGAGACAGATGAGTCGGAAAGTCATTTAGCCGTGCAGATAAAAAGGCAGTATACAGGTATGTCCGAAAAATGTGTAACGTTTTGTTTCCCGAAAAAATGTTTCAATCCAGAAAAGGCAATGGAGCCTGTGCATAAACATTAACAGAATTAATAAGGCTTACTTATAAGGCCCCCGTGAATAGATATGACAGTAGGAACGCCCCTCCCCCAAGTAATAAAGATGGCCCGAAGCATAAATCGAGGGGTACCTATTCCCGTATCCTACCTCTAGTATTAGCCCTAACATAAACTCAAACGGTGGCCCTTATCTAAACCTTACCTCTATCCTAAACTCTTACCCCATCAGTAGCAACGAGGCTAGCCCTAACCCTAAATTTCCCTGTAACTGATCTTCCCCTTAACCTTGACCCTAACGATAGGCCCAGAATTATTTTCCCTGGAATTAGACGCGAAGGCACCTGTATTGCGAGCAGTTCTTGTTCGTCTGTCCTGTACAGGGGGAGGGGACATATACAATTCTTGCATGAGAATCGAGGAAGGAAACATTTTTTATCTTTATTTAATGACTTTTGTAAACGTGCAAAACTACAACCTCATCTAGACTAATATGTCAAGTCATTCACAGTAAGTTAATTTTTTCCCAACGTTAGACATTTGGTAATAAGCCATGCAGTTTATTCGGCCATTTTTATGATAATCGCGAAATTTTGCCATGCTAATTTTGACGTGATTGGAACAGTAGTTTGAAATGCAATGTTGGTAGGGAAAGTATCTTGTCAAAAGGATCGCAATGTTTGGTATAGTTGGTGTATAAGTAACAAAATCGGCCATATAAATGTTTCCGTTGATTTATTAATGTTTATAAATTCTATGGGTACTACGTCAAGTTGTATGAATGGTTCGTAGTTTTGTCATTCCAAAAACCATAAGGGTCCCTTTCAGTTCCCTTTCTTCCCTTCAGCATTGGATCTCTTTGTATTTGAAGTACTCATGCAGGAATCACTGTACTGACTTGTATAAGTCTTGATTTTGCATACCGATTAAGGGTACACGCATTTGTTCTCATTGGACTAGTTGAACGCTCGAAGGAGATGTTGAGGGAACAAACCCGTAAAACAACGTCCCAGCGATGTACATCCTCTTTATTCTGATGCTACCTTCGAACACCAGCTACAAGAAGAAAACGAGCGACGTCAATCAAACATAGGGTGAGTGCGAGAAAGTTATGTTCTTTTCTGTCCAGTCGATCTATCAATATCAACTAGCAGTGTATTTCATGAACACAGTTAACTTAACTGGGAATGTTTTACTGTGAGATTTAGTTCTAAAAACTGCCCTTCCAAAGTTATGACGGATGTCTTATTTTCTCTCACGCCTGTTAGATATGATGTATCGAAAGTTCCACTCATTATTCCCCGCCTTACGTCGGCGAAACCGTTTTGTCTATTACCTTTTTTACTTCTGTTGTTATATTAAAGTCGAGAGGATAGTATAACCATTTCTGGCGACTAAACCTTTAAATGAAATATTCAGGAACTTAACAAAATAAATATCTGTACACACATGGCTAACGTGGAAAATGCAGAGAGAGGGAGCAAGAGATATGTTAGAAGATAAACAAAGTTTCACTTCCTTCTTTGTGACAATGATGTCCGCTGTTAAAATATGCTTTCCGTTTATAAGAGTCAGATGAAGTGGGTGCGACTGAGGCGTGAGTTATAGGAGACGGTGAGTACGAAAATTAAGACTTTCTTTCAGCTGGGATGGACAGCCGAGGTTGTCTACTTGGTTCTGGAAGAAATTGTGGATGTTAAGGCAACTGTCTTCAACAGGTTCTGTCAACCGACTCATCGTTTCACACATTGCGTGCTGTAGTTCACGCCGGACAGTGCGAATAGACAGGTGGCGCAGCGACGGGATTGGATGGAGGTAGGCAACAAGGGAGTGCAGTCTACTTGGTGAAGGAAGACGGCGTATGTAGAGGTTGCTGCATAAACTCTTACAAAGCACGTAATAGTCTTTCACTATTGGAGAAAGTAACGACCAAGCCGTTTACTTTTTAATTAGGATGACTGACTATTTCGGCTTTCCATTTCAATTTCAGTTTCGCTCTACAGTAGTGAGTTGATCAATTTCTCTGAAAAGTCAGCAGTTTGATAAATCTGTTCCAAAAAGCCCTTTTCTTTTTTCTCAACATTTTAGCTCGGATCTTCCTACATTGCCAACCTACATATATATTATTTGCTTGTACACCGATCTACCTCTCAGGATGTGCCCGTCCTGGGTCGATGCTTTCGCGAATCGGTCCAACCGATTGTTTCGCAAAGCTATTAAATAATTGGTATGTTACTAGCTAAGTGTCAGTAACACATCTTTTTATGTTTTAGTATCCAGCAGAGACAGGCAACGTAGGTTAGCTATCTCGGTCTGTTGGCCCTCATCAGCTACGTGTATATTATAGTAGCAGGTATGCGTACACCGATCTGTCAAAGGGCCCACTCGTCCGTCAATGTTGCCATTAGAGCTCTCACTCGAGATTCCACCGCGAGGCGGCTAGGACAAGCAGAAGGACATTGCCAGCAAAGACATGGGGCACTAGGAAGGCCTTTTCTGGCTCATTTGCTGTCATCGGCCAGTGATACCCAACTCCACTGTTGCCACTGAAATTGCTTCCACACTCGAGTCTTGAACTCGCGCTCTCTCCGGTCAGGGCGAACGTCCTAACCGTTGAGCTACGAGCTCACGGTATTGTCGGTATTACATCTGGGATATACAGTAGCAGATATGCGTACACCGATCTGTCAGAGGACCCACTCGTCCGTCCATGTTGCCATTTGAGTTCTCACTCGAGCTTCCACCGCGAGGCGGCTAGGATAGCCAGAAAAGGTCTTCCTAGTGTCAAATGTCTTTGCTGGTAATGTCCTTCTGCCTTCACGTAAACTGGTCGCGGCGATATCGGAGCTAACGCGCGTTTTCTTTCATGTTGCTGCAGTGGGTCTGGATTCGTCTAAATCACGTTCTCACAC